AGGGTTGGTGAGTTCTTGAACCCCTGGGGGAGCCGTGTCCAAGTGAGCTAGCCAGAAAACCCAATCTCCAGGTCCTTCCATTCGAACTCGAACATGGGCTGACTCTGGGGACTCAAACTCAGTCTGAGGCAAAAGAATGCATCCTTAAGATCTAGCACTGTGTACCAGATGTGGCTCAGAGGCAACATGCTCAGCAAGTTATAAGGATTGGGCACTGTCAGATGGATGTCCTCAGTTCTCTGGTTGACCTCCCGCAGGTCTTGAACGGACCTGTACTCTCCCGTACCTGGTTTCTTTATGGGGAGAAGGGGGGTGTTCCAAGGGCTGCGATAGGGCCTACGGATGCCTTGTTGTAATAGTCTATTAATATGTGGCTTGATTCCTTCCCGGGCCTCTTGACTCAAAGGATATTGTTTGATGGCCACTGGAGTGGTTGAGGGCTTGAGGTTGATAATTAAAGGAGGCTGTTTTTTAGCCAACCCCATGCCTGCTGTTTCTGCCCAGGCTTGGGGATATTTTTCTAACCAGCTAGACTCCATGGTTGGCGAGGGGGGTGAGGGATCCTCTAGAAGTCTTTATTCATCCTCGAGCCTTAAGGTCAATACTTGGAGGGGTTGTCCCCCCTCTCCTGTAATGGTAGCCCCCTTCTGGTGGAAGTGAATGTGGGCTCCCACTTTAGAGAGGAGGTCTCTCCCTAATAAGGGGTAAGGACATTCAGGCACCAGCAAGAAAGAGTGAGTCACGTGTCCAGTGCTCAGGTGGACCTTACGTTCAGTTGTCCATCGGTGTACTCAATTGGTGTACAACTTTCCTCTGGTGGCACCCTGGACCCAGATGGTCCAGGTGCTCAGGGGTCCCTGAGTCTGAGTCAGGATTGAGTGCTGAGCTCCCATATCTACCAAGAAAGTTACGGGTTGCCCCAGAAACGTTAAGAGTTACCCGGGGCTCAGGGGGAGGCACCTGGCCCTGACTGGCCTAATCTCCCTTTTCCAGAGAGAGAATGGGGATGGGCTTCTGCCTTGGATTCTTCGGGCAATGTTTGACCCAATGTCCCTTTTCGTTGCAATAAGCACACTGGTCTCTCTCCACTCTTGTTCTCCTTTTGTCTCCCAGGTTCCCTGTCTGACCTGGTCTATGTTCTGATCCTTGAACTACAGTGGCCAAAATTTTAGCTAGCTCTTGGTTTTGCTTTTTGTCTCTTACATTCTCCCTGTCCTCCTGTAACTTTCGTAATCTTTCTTCCTTTTCTTCGGGAGTCTCTCTCTTATTGAAAATCTTTTCTGCTTCCTTTACTAAGTCTCGAAGGGTGTACTCCTGTAGCCCCTCAAGGCGCTGTAGTTTCGTATGTATGTCAGTCGCTGATTGTCCAATGAATGACATGATTATATCGGCCTCCCTATCCTGAGTCTGGGGGTCAAAGGGGGTGTACATTCTGTAGGCCTCCATCAAATGTTCTAGAAACCCTGCGGGGAGCCCTGAACTACCGCACGTACCTTGGCCAAATTTGTGGGGCGCCTTCCTGCCCCTTTGAGACCCGCCAACAGAGTCTGGCGATAAAGACGGTGACGCTCCCTACCGGCTGCTGTGTTGATGTCCCAGTCTGTCGGTCTGATCAAGGGAAAGACTTCATCTATTTCATTTGGGAGCTGGGTGGGTCTGCCATCTGGCCCCGGGACGTTCTTCCGGGCTTCTAGGAGTACCCGTTGTCTCTCCTCGGTTGTGAGGAGAATTCCTAATAACTGTTGACAATCATCCCAGGTGGGCTGGTGGGTGATGAGGATAGATTCAATAAGACCTGTCAAGGCCTGGTGGTCCTGTGAAAAGGGGGGGGGTTATGTGTCTTATAATTATAAAGGTCCATAAGGGGGTAGTTAGTTGCTGACCCATGGGAAGAAGTAGAGATTGACACAAATGACAAGCACAACAAAACAAAATACAACAGATAGGACAAACCGCGCGCGGTAGACAGGTAGCGCCAAACCAGAATCCAAAAAACAAGTTACAAAGCAGGAGGGAAGCAAAGTCTGGGGCTGGCTGCCTACCCAGAGAAGTGAGACTTCGTATCTTCTCCCTCCTCCAAATGACCCTCAGACTTTCGTCCAGGCCAAACCACTAGCTTCCTCGGAACACGTCTGTTCAGAGCAGAACCATGAGTCTCGGAATACGTCTATCTCCCTCTGTGGTCCTTACCAAATACCAAACATCAAACATAAGACACATAGACACATAGACTATCTTACCTCCAACTGGCTGTGAAATTGAGCATGGGGGGTTTCCTGGTCTCGGTGGGACCTCCAAATGAAAGACCCTTGAATAGAGGAGTCTCCACAAATCGGGCTGTCCTCCCAAAAACACTCAATGTCCAGCCCAGCTGATGTAAAAACAAGAGGTAAGTTTATTGCAGGACGTTTGCGCAAACAGGCCTCCCAGTCCAACAGACATGTCCGTACCATGTCCATAGCAGTCACTGTTTTGTCCTTTAGCCTCATTCCATTGCACTCACTGTGAAATACAAAAGAGCCTTAGCCTGGCTTTGCTGTCTAATAAGTTCCTACCACAGCACTGTACTAGTAAGTGAAGGATTTAAGAATTAACAAAGAAGTAAAATAAGAAGACTTAGGAAAAAAACCTCTCACACTAAGAACAGGGAGACCTGACTTAGAAATCTAACCAAGGTCACAATGACCCGAGTCCCTGGAATTTCCTAGCTGGCAGCAATAACTCCCTTACAAGGCCACAAGACAATGTTACTAAATACCAAGAATTCCCAGAGGGCCACCCTGCCCTGGGGTCATGAAGATAAGAACAGACTATCCCACTGAGTCAGGAGACCATCGGGCCCCAAAGATAAGAGACCTGCAAAGAACCTGTGACTCTGCTCACCACCCTAACCCCTAAAAGCCTATGGTTTTCTCCTATAAAAGAAGCCTGCTTTAGAGGAACAAGGCTTTTTCCTTTGTCTGTCGGACTGGGAGGCCCGTTTGCGCAAACGTCCCGCAATAAACTTACCTCTTGTTTTTGCATCAGCTGGGCTGGACATTGAGTGCTTTTGGGGGGACCGTCCGATTTGTAGAGACTCCTCGATCCGAGGGTCTTTCATAAGAATCTCACCAGCAGTGAACAATACATACTGAGCACTTACTTGGCCTCATTTTTCCCCATTAATTATTGATGCATGATATATGATATGTGATATATGGTAATGCATGCATGTATATATATATATATATATATATATATATATATATCTCTCTATATACACACAAACTGTACTCTCTGTATATAATATATATATATTCCTAAGTATACCAACACAGTATGCTCAGTATGTATAATGTTACTTGTGCACATGTACAAAAACAAACATTACAAGCCATGACCCATGTATGAGAAAGAAAGTTCAGTTATGGATTTCCTGAGTTTATGAGTTATGCTGGTATGGACATGGGAAAAGAGGGGCTGTTATTCACTGCCCAGTCCTGAAGGAGATCCTCCAATGGGCCTTGAGGGACACCCAGTGTTCCTGTCCTTCGAACCCCTGCCAAGCTAAGGAGCTGTGAAAGGTTTATGACAGAGAAAGTGGCAGTGAAATGCAGATGCCGAGTCCGCAGTCAGTCTCAGCCATGCCTCTGGCTGAAAGCATGGGTGGTGGGGGCGTGGCCTGTGCTCTTCAGCTCGCGCATGCGCATTAGGCCAGCCAAGCTGTGAGTCTCCGCTCAAGAAACAGAATCCCGGCGGCGAGGCGAGGCGAGGCGAGGCGCGGCAGGTAGCCTGAAGAGAAAGCAGCCCCAAAGGGAGTGTGGTAGGACGTCGTCTCTAGGTGGGTGACCTTGGGAGCCTGTGACTCTGTCAGCTCCAGTGGTGAGGACCCTGGCTCTGAGGAGCTCCGCGACCACTGGCAGAGGAGGGTGTGGGTTCCTGAGACAAGGCCTGGGCCGGCTTGTGAGGAGATATCCGGGTGACTCGCGTACGCCTTAGATGAGAGGAGGAGGCTCCTGAGGGCAAGGGAATCGGCTTGACTCCCCTTAGGTCCCAAGAGAGGCTCAGGGAACCCGCGTATGAAGTAGGGAAGAGTGTACAAGTTTCACATCTATACATCTCTGTCTGCTACGGTTCCTTATTAGCACCAGGGCCCCTGAGCGCCTCCTGTCTCCTCAAAATGAGAAGCCGGCAGAGGCGTCTCTGAAGCGTGTGGCACAGGTTCATTTCCGGTAACATAACCATGGTGACTGAGTCACTACTACATTGCGTAGTTCCCCCCAGTCCATATACCACTACAAGCATGAAGA